GAGAGAGAGAGAGAGGATGCGCAGACGTATTCGATCGACCCATATGAGAGGAATGAGCTTGTACTGCGACAGAGTTCAGTCAGTCAGTCAGTCGGTCGGTGCCGCTATCAATTGCCGCTTCACGTTGAGTTTCTGGAAGGTCTCTCACGACAAACACGCAATCAGTACGTTCGCATCTCTTTTCTTTTTTTCCTTTTTTCATCATTTCTCTATTTTCTCATCTTAAACGGTCGAGATCTTTTTGCCTCTCACGAAATAGTCACGATTCCATTCGATCATCAGTTCTTTAATCAACGTTCTGCCCACACGTCTCGATCCCTTCCGTCTCCGGTCGAGAAAGAAGAAAATCACATGCATGCGATGTGCATACAGAAAAGCAGCCCACGATGCGAGGAGCGATGTAAAGCGGACGATTGGTAGAGCGATGTAGTACAAAGGTAACAATCCTTTTTCCCTTTCTACCGCATGTCAATAGTGTATGTATTACTAAATGAATTTATTTTCGAGCGGGCTGGAAAACTGACCTGTGGACACTTATAGTAGTTACCCATTGCACGACGAATTTACAAGTTGGTCCCATCGTGTTAGATGTGGACTGATTGCGAGTAATTTGCCGGGAACTTAACGTCATCCCTATACTCTGCTGATCAACGACAATTCCGTAACGGATATGAGCATCGTGTCGTTGACATCGTTTTCGCGCGCGGTTCCGGGGACTTTACATTTCCCTCATCTTATCCTTTATCTTAGCTTTCTTCTTCTTTTTTTTTTATATCAATTTAAGGATATAGAAAAAGATTGCTTTTTCTGTTATTAGTTGAAATTCTTAACAAATTCATTGTGGTATATTTCAACGGGAAGTTTCATTCCTTTGACGTGCGAGAAATGCAGATATAAAAATACGTGTCTTATTTTCCTTTATATCTTAATATTTAATATTCGAAGCTCATTAAAATCAGAGGGGCAACATTTGATTGTGTTCAATATATTACAAAAAAGATGCGTGAAATACTTTTGATATTATTTTTTATAATATTTTTGATCCGCGAAAAAGAAGTGATATCGAAGATAAAATGATTATGGATTCTCTGAGAACATATTTGTAAAAAAATATACGCTTGTGATGTGCAATATGATTTTCAAATAATTGTTTTTATTTTATGTAAATACAGACTTGAGATATTTTAGTACATTTTAATATATAATAAATATAGATTGTTAATACTAACGATATAATATATTAGATTTAAAATAAATTTAAAATAAAATTTTAATTATCAATTTGCCAACGTAATTTAAATCTCAACTCAAATACGGATACACATGTAGTTTTATTTAGTACTTTGCTAATTTCTATCATCGTGTTTGCAGTATCTATAGATAAGAATTCTATGTTATAAAATAGAAAGCTGTTGTAAGTTTGCTGTATATAGATAAAGTAGAAGAAGAAGAAATTTAAAATAGTGCAAATAGAAAGAAAATCCGAGTGATTGTGATTCTGTCGATTGAATCTATATGCGTAACGAGGCAAGTACGAACGACGTGGCACAATAAAGTTTGTCGTTACATAGATTCACGGATCGTGCGGTAGTTTTAAAGAATTGTCGATGCGATCGATTCGGGAAGACTTTACTCACATTTATGTGATCTTTCGCTACAAAATACACATTTACACAAAAATTTTAATGTATATAATTTCAATAAGATTTTTGATTTTATAAATAGATGCGAAAATATAGGCTTTACACATTTCAGTTAATCATATTTCTATTTTCTGTTACAAGCAAATAATTTTTTTTTTTTCGCGTATCTGCAACATTGGAAAGCGTATTACCAAAATTACGTCAGCTTCAAACTCTATTTTGCCACAGCGGACAAGACCATGAATACAAGGCGTGAATTGGTATGTCGCTTGCATCTCGACATACTCATACTTGGCAAGCGGAATCACGTTGCATCCGTCGTATTGAAATTGTCGATTATGTCGCGAATATGGAGTTGAAATATGAAGTTTGTTAGATTTTAAGATGAAAGAAGGAAAAGCTGGTCGATAAAAAATTAAATGCCAAGTTATGAAAAAACTTTATTTTAGAAATTTTAATTTTAATGAAACTCTACATACCAAGAAAGCTTCAACTCGTGAATAGAGCAATTGGAAAATTTGAAAACTAATTTAGCTAAAATCTTTCCAGATAGAAGCCGGAATTATGCCGGATATACGAATTTTTATCCTTGCTTTTGTAACAAAAGTTATATAATTTTCGTATATTCGTGAAATTTATTTATTAGTCATTATCACGACATGTCAACTTTATCAGTCTATACAATTAGACATATTAAACGTATTATTCACTAATTGATACAATTATACAATTGCAGTCGTTATAAGCATAGATTTTATCGATATTTATCTAAAATTACAGTGTACAGACAAGAAAATATATAACAACAGTTGTGATCAAAAGTAATCAAATCAATAATATTTGACATTAAAGAGATCTAAAAGAGATTCTATTTACTTAGAATTAAAATTAAAAATATAAATTAACATTCTGTACATACATTATTATAAATGTTCTAGATTTAATTTGACTTTTTGTATCCTAGATATCATGTCGTTTTTCGGCGAGTTTAATGAAGATTACACTGGAGCGTAATAGCGCGCGATTCGAGGCCCTAAATGAAATAACGAGCTTGTCCCTACTTCGCTCTCAAACCGTGAAATTCAAGACCGTAACGGTAAGAGAACTTTTTTTTACAGTTGATAATAAGTCGATAATATGGCTGCGGTCGTGAACATCGTGTGTTCTTGATTTGAACATTTGATATTGTCGCGACAAGAACGATTCCATGAAATGATTCCATGAGCATTCCTAAGCATAAATCGAAACTCAGTCTAATACATGTCCATAGATACGCGTTGCTACATAGCGATACGATTGTATCATTATCCTTACTCATGCATGCGAGTGTATACGAAAGATATTTTGCGCGAAAGGTATTTTGAGGCTCGCTATTACCAGATTACATGACACACACACGCACGCGCGCGCGCGCACGCACGCACACACACACACACACACACACACACACACACACACACACACACACACACAGAGAGAAAGAGAGATTCCATGTATATTTAGAAAAGTTCTCTTTCTCTTTTTTGTTTGCGTCGTACAATCCGCCGTTTATATTGCATTGTATCAATCTTCCGTGATTACGAACTATCATCAAGAGAGCTATTCTGCGTTTCTTGCAAAATCCCAGTTTTACGAGATATACGCATCAGAAATTCCATATGAGTCGTGATTGAGCTTTAAGGCCAAAACGACAATTATCGCGCGATTACAATTCATTAGACGAGGCCCACGCGAGATTGATCTAATACGATGACAAATGTATCCTGATTCTTTCGCGCGCAGGCAACATGTTCCTGTTGCTGACAGTGCACGAACGGAGGTTGCTGCAGTAGCCGAGAACATTCGCCAACCATTTTAAAAGACTACGATCCTATCGACACGAGCACGTCTCACTTTTACGAAAGTAAACATCCCACCGATCATGAAGTGGCCCTCTATCAGCAAGACATTCACATGGACGACGTTTTGCCTATTCATGCTTTTATTCCTGCCGACGAGAACAAGTAAGCGACACGAGAAAATAACGTAACAATTGAACGTACAATTGAATCGCTAAAGAGATCTAAAGTTTAAAAGTTTAGAAGCATTTTCTTTCTTTTCTCACTTGTATATGGCGAATAGTAGGTAATAATAACTTGTACTAAATTTACAACTAGATACATCGACGTAGAAACGAGAAATCGCGACTGAATGATTCTGAATGTAATGGTTCTGAAAAGAGATATAATTATCTTTGAATCTTTGAATAGCAGTCTACATTTTTATATTATTAAAAATAAAATTTGACAATACGATTACTTTTTTTTATATGTTTTTTATTTGTTTTGCCTCGATCAAACGATATGTATCGTTCTCAGCTTTTCTATCTGTTATCTAAATGTTTGCCTTATAAATTTGTGATTCAACGTGATATTCTCTCTCGTGTCCTCACTAATCTTTTAACCAGATATAATCCAGTTGAACCTAAGCTTGTTCTAGCTAAGTAACCCTATTTAAAGAAAAATAACAAAATAGAATGTTAATACTGATATTATCTAAATATTCGAATTTTCGTAAATGACTCAGAAAGATTTAATATCGATTCATGTAATGTAAATTCTCTGAGTTATCGACAATCATTCAGCTTCAATAGAGTTTTGAAAAGATGCTCGTACATATTGGTACATCTATACGTCTGTTGACATGTGATTGCGCAAATCACAGCTACAGATTACAATCTGAATCTGTAATGAATATTGAACTGATATGATAAATTATTTCAGATGCTCTAGAGGAGAATTGTACGGATTTTCAAGGTGGCACTGTCCGACATGGTCTTTTGTACGTGCCAGGACCTGCGGTCTGTAGTCTCTGCGTTTGTTATCATTCCGAGCCGATGTGGTGTCAAGCCATCTACTGTACGCCACCATACGTGAGTATCGATAAGAATGTGAAGAACACATAATATTTGCAAATAAAATTCGAAACCGTCCCAAATATCCTATAAATATCAACTGCGTCACTCGTATGAGTAACTGCATTTTTTTTGGGTTTACTTTGGGAATTTCACGACATTTGCGTGAGTATTTCTTCTTGCATATGTCATTTGTATACGATCGCTACAACAGTCAAAGTATCGAATTGCATTTGTTGGGAATGAAATTATTCGGATACAGTTTTTTCTCAAATAGTTCTCAATTAGTTTTCCACTGACTGACACAATGATTTTTGTTTTATCTTTTAATTGCCGGTAATAAGTGGCTCAGTCAAAAATTTTCAATTTTACCATGAACGACAAAGGCAATTTATTAGAAGAAATAAAATGTATAACGGTATAGTTTCACAAACAAATCGCATTTTTCTCGATGGCCCTACGAATTATGTGTGTACACTCACTCGCTTTAACTGCATTTTAATTATATTCTCTCTATATCCTGTGTCATACCGATCCAAAATCAATGTCATACAAGCGCTACCGCTTGAAGTAGTCGGAACAAAATTCCGTGTAGCACATTACGCACCTAAATGATAGTTATGCCACTAATAGACGTTGATCGACTTTATATGTATAGTTTGCAAGTAGAGACGTTAATAATCATAATAAAATAAACGTATTATCGCAATAATAATATTAAACAATTAATGATTGTGATGTATATGTTATATGGATACAGCACGTAGAGTAACGTAACACTGTCTGGCATAGTAATATTTCTTTAAAAAAATTTGATTTTTTTTTATAAAAATAATCTTTTCTGTCTAATCTTTTTAAAAATTATTAAAATTAATTTAAAATTTATTTAAATAAATTTATTAATCTATTACTTAATTTGTCTTTTAAACGAGAAGTTAAAAATACATTGTGTAATGGACATTAATAAGATTGCTCAACAGGATAATTAATAATCGCTTTGTTAAATTTCTCTCAGTTAGACCTTACAAGTGCTACTGAAGAAGGAAAGTTCGTTAAGATTATTTTTAGAGTGTAAATTTATTGCATGGCAACAAAGCTATGTGACTTGCATAAAATCATTACATAATCGTACTGATGTGTGTGT